TAAATGTAAAAGATAAAGAGTTTCATTGCTTTTTACACAATGATCAGAATNAAATTTTTTTAAATTTAGAATGTTAATTCTGAAATGACAATTGTCATAGTTATTTTTTTCATATTTTTTTTTTTTTAATAAGAAAATCAATAATCTATTACACGATAAGATTTAACGAATGCACGAGAATATTGGACTTTTCGTTTGATAAATTTTCAATAACGAATTATGAAATTACATTACAAATTTTTTTATTTGCTATTTTATCGTGTAATAACTATGTACTTATCATGAAATATAAAAAAAAAAATATAAGTCGTGATATTGTCACTTCGTGATTATTATTATAAATTGTGCTTTTTCTATTTTTTTTTTTTAAATTTAAACAGCTTATTAAAAAAACATTGAACACTAATAACATGGAAATATTATGTATATTTAATAAAAGATGTATTCATTTTTGTTTTTAGTTTGAATAAAAAATATTATTTGAATGATTCATGATCTATTGAGTACAATATTCATATGAAAAAATATTAAAAACAATTATTGAAATGAGATGATATTTAAAGATTTATATAATGATAAACAAATATATGGAAAAATTTGAATTTTAAATAAATTTTTAAGATATAATTACAAATAATTATTTGAAATAATATTTTGTATATGTAAATTTGATATTGACATTTGAAATATTTTCAATTATTCTTTTCTTCGAAAAACTATATTAATTCAAAGAATAAATTTCTTTTCAACAAAAGTAAACGACTTGGACACTTTATTGACAATCCTGACACCTGACACGCTACATAATAGTAGAAAAGCTATAATTTGAATATTCAAAATCGTAAAAATTAATTTTCATTTATTATTACAATAATCATCTAAAACTGAAACCTGAAATATTTTCGAAACTATGAATTATTTTAATATTAATGTATCTATATTATGTCTAGTTTATTCATATAATTATTATCTCAATTACTCGAATACAAAATTACATTTATAAATTAAATTATTATTATTACAATTCATAATTAGCCTTGTATATATTTGGATACAAATCGTTTTACTGCCTCTTTCTGTCACAATCAGATTAATATACGTGACAAATACCACGAAAATGCGTGTGAAAATAATCGTTTCCTCCCGTATAGACATCCTTCTTTCACTTTCATTATTTCATTATTCGTTCCCTTTCTCCACTTAGCACCTGATCTTTAATCCCAAGAAAACTTTATTAAACCTTTGTCTTCCACATATTTCCAAAAATTTGCAAACAATATCCCTTCCATCCCATATATATCTCATCAAATTAGAAAATCCACTTATTCAAATGAAAAATTATATTTCTCTACATCCCTCTCTCCTTTCCTTCTTCCTAACCTTTTTGATATAACTTCTTATACCTGTACTTGTTATACACAACCACAACAACGATGGATAATATAACGTAGCCGTATCCATCCACAGAAGCGTGAACTTAGCCGCGAGCACTCCGGCTAGATTAAATTTGAAATATTAATAAGACGGTCGAAAATGGCGAGGAAGGAAAGGAAGACAATGGGATGAAGGAAAAAAAAAAAAAAAAAAAGAAATCTGGCCAAAATCCATAGTGCAAATCCTCGTCAAAAATTCGTGCAAACGAGATTTCCAATTTAATTTAATAGATTTAAGGAAGTAGGAGAAAATTAATAAAAAGAAAAAGCGTAAGGAAAATTAATGGCGGACGTCTGGTGTTCACGCTTCAAATCCATGTGCTTGTTTGTTTCAGCTGCGTCGTATCGTGGGCCAGGGGAGGACGAGGACAAGGATTCGTACGCGGCTAGGATCGCATTCACAGGAAATTCGCGGATCCTGGGACCTATTTGTATAGTCGTGGGCGCCCTTATGCTCGCTCTAGGCGTGCTACTCTGCATGCTCACCAGAAGGGCGAGAAGAAGGGAGCGCAGAGTCGGCTTCCATTGCCCTCTTCACGGCGATTTTTATCCCGTTAGTCCTGTTCAAGGTGTCAAGATGCTTGGTGAGTCGAGATTATTTTTTTGCATGTGCAAAATTTTTTTTTTTTTCGTGCAAATGGATGAATTTGATTACTTGGTTTGAAATTTTGGACGAGTTTTGGAAAGGATTTTTATGCGAAAAAAAAATGGTAAAATGTTAGGAAATAAATAAAATAGAAGGGAAGGTAGGATACGTATAGTTTTGAATAAAAAGAAAAAAAATGAAATTTAAATTTAAATTGCAGTCAGCTGCAAAAGATTTTGAGATTAAATTAATAAATTGTGTTATCGAAATCAATAATTTTGTTTTGTGAAACGTTATGTAGATCATAATGGATTACAGAAATGTGAGAAGATTTTATTATTGAAATATATTGAATATTGTGAAAAGTTTGATTAAAGAAGATTTTTGTGTATGCAAATTTTCATTAAAATCAAATTTTTCAAAATTAATAAATTTTCTTTCGATATAACCTACGAAAACTTGTATCATTGATTGTAGATTCGCGTTTACTACATTATTTTTAAAGAATTTTTTAAATTGGAGAAGAAATTGCGACGAATAGCATCAAACAAAGGAAATATAAAAAATAATAACCAATTCTTTGCACCAAGTATTCACATTTATATTACACTCTGTGTTCAATTACTCTTCAATTACATACTGAGAAATAAAATAATAAAACTAGGCAAAAAAACGTAATTAAGGAGTAATTATTTTAATTCCAAATAGATTGCCATTCTAAATTCTTAAAAATCGTTACGCGAGTTTTTTACGCAATCGTAAAAACTGTTTGAAAGAATCTTGAATCTTGAATCATATTCGAATATTACCGGCACAACATCAGGTAGTTTGCTGCGAGAAATGCTGATGTCTAGATTTGCAGAAAATGTTCAAGAGGAGTGTGCTATATATATATATATGTGTCTATGTATGTGTGTGTAGTTTCTAAAGAAGACGAAAAGAGAAGGTATAGAAATCTGGTGACCTGATTAAAGTACATGTGCTATCAAAAGTTTTGCTACTCGCGTTATTCGACATTTGCCACAACAAATTTTAATACATTCGATAATTTAATTAAAGATGTACGATAACCTGTTTATCCACCAAATAAATTAGAATCGAAGTGGCAATAAAAAACCGAAAGGTTCCCTTTTTAATCGAAGAAAGGAAAGATGTTTAATCGTAAATTCATGTGTATTTATTAATAAATAATCTATTCAAATAGAAATAACATTAAAAAATAATAATATCTATTTATTCTTTTAATCAATTAATTTACAAAGATTCCTTTTTTATTTCTTTCCAATTAACAAAAATTTTGTAATAAAAAGAAAAAAAAAGTAAATTTCTTTGATGAGAATATGATGGAATTGATATATCAGTACCAATAACGTTATTTAATTTTTGCTATTAGTGAAAAAGAATTTCTCTATGATTTTTCTAATAGCTTTTAAAATCTGCATAAATTACAACATTCTTTTTGAACGATATTATTTGTATTATAACGTGATTAAATTTCTACTCGATCATTTTTTGATTTTAATGAAAATTTAACCGAGTTTCATTTCGCGAAATGAATTCGTTGCGAAAATTGAAGTAGAATTTTATATTTCCTCCTTTCAAATTTTTTTTTTTTAAATTACAAGTCACGACAATTCCGCTTTCCACGTATGGAGCTTATCGAGGAATTAAAAATTCATACTTCACCTTTCGTTCTCTATCGTGTTGTGTCATTGTCGTCGTCGAACGATAGAATGATCCGTTTTGAGCAGAAGCCATTTGAACGCAAATTATTTCCATATACCTTCCGCGATTCGACAAACATTTCTAAAAGAAAATAAGAAAAATTTTGCCACGTGAGTCGTAATCTCCGATTCCGTTCCATTATTATCCGCGCGCCTCGTTTATTCTCGAATATCAAATATGAATCGGACGATTTGAGCGGCAAACAATGTGTTCGTATAACTTGGGTTGACATTTGTAGTACAAAGTTCAGAGGAAAGTAAGAGAAATGAACTTTGAACGATTCTGATATTTATTTATAAAATTCTGAGCATTCTCAGAATAATATATATATATATATATAATTGTACTATATAAGAGAGTTTTATCATTTCTTAAAATGACGTCGTTTTGTTAAACAAAGAGTTGATCGAAAGAAAAACGATTTACTTTTAATTATCGAATTGATATAAAATTATAAAAGTTAATTAATACATGTATATATTTTGGATTCATGAAATTATGGATTTAACGTGAGAACTAACTCGTTTCTTCGTGATATCAAATAAATAATAATAAATAAACAGAATAAAAAAAAAAAAGAAAAATCAAGATAACATTCTCTGTTTCTATGATGTTCTTTTTGTAACTTGTTTAAATTTTAGTAAAATGATGTTTTTTTGTTTTCTTCTGTTCTAAAAGATTATCTAAGATTGAATTAAGTTTCTTAAATGCAACTATCAGGAGAAGCACGCGATATTAAATTAATTACAGTTTGATCGTATTAAAAGTGGTAATTTTGTTTAATTAGAGTTTAAACAGTCTTATGAAATTGCATGATATCATGAAGGATTAAAATAATTAAAGAAAAAGATTGACAGTTACAAATTATTTTTATAACTTTTATATTATAAGCAACATTGTGTTCATCTTTTATCAATAAATTATCGAATCTATAAAAAATTAATATTCAATCATTTCGAAAATATTCGATCTCGAATACTTTTTATATTTTTTACTTAAAATATAAATTTTCATATGTTTCATCGAAACACGTAAAATAGTGACATTTACATTATCTTTTTCAAATCCATATAATCTAAACGATTGAAAATACCAATTGATTTATCTAATATTGTTATAATTACTTAATCTTCATTGATTTTTAAATTCATATAAAAATAAAATATTTTACAAACAGAGAATATGAATCCTCATAAGGATATTCTCACGAGGATCATTATTTTTTAAAAATAAAAAGAAAACTTTTTATATAAATTTTATTAATCTACATACATATATATAAGAAAAAAAGCACAAAACATTAAGAGTATTATAGACATTTAAAACCAAATCTCTCTTTAAGCTCCATTTCTCTAATCCTGTTCATAAAAATCTTATCCTGCACGGAATATTCCACATCAATAAAAAAAAATAAATGTAAAACTAATAATAAACTCATTTCAACGAGTGAAAATATTTTTAATCCCATAACGCAATTCTTAATAATAATCAATCAGATCAAATTTTCAAACAAGATTTCTTTTCACGTTCCTTTATCCATAAATCTTTCTTTCATCTATCTCCTTTCCTCGAATTTTATTTATTTAATAATATATTATATATTTAATATATATTTAATATTTAATATAATATATTTAATTTAATATATTTAATATATATTTAATCCGGATTAAAAGAGAGTAGATAATCGAATAATGAAATCTCCAAGTTCGATTTACCGACGGAGTCATTATACCTGCGGGCATTGTACAGTTTTCCAGAGGATGCCAGAGGTTCGACCTGTCTTAGGAAGCCTATCGGAAATGTTAGTTTATCACAGCGTGTTCCAGTTCGCGTCAATTGCTTTAAATTCAGGACGAGGCTGGATCAGGGTTAGGGTAGCTAACTGGATTGTCGGAATTCAGGCTAATACGAGTCTATCAAATTATTCCATTGGTCAGTCGGACGTGTTTCCACCATCTTGTTGTGTTGTCCACTCGAATCTGGATTTTCCTGAAGGTTCATCGTATCCACCACCATCTTGGTCTTTGAAAAGATATTTGGTGAAAAATATACATTTCTGAAACGATTCGATCTTGTCTTACTTTTTTCGATTTTCTTTTCATAATTTTTAAATTATGATATATATGATTTGAAAGAAATGATAAATTATGAATTTTTCAAATTAAGGAAATTTTTTTATTTGTCCATTAATATTATTGTATTGATGATGTTATTTATTAGGTAAAATGTATTGCCAACTATCGATGTTTCATGTTTCATTCGATAGATAAAATTTTTCATTACGAAAGATTATTAAAAATGTGCTTTAATAAGAATAATGTACACCTTTGCATTTTCGTTGTTTCATTTTGTAAAAGTACAGTGATTGAGGTCACCGATAACGCATTTTAATTTTACATAATTAACATTTCACTTAATTTTAATTAATTTTCAAACGAATGAAAACATTTCCACGTTAAAAGAATATAATTAATATTCCTTCATTTAATTCAAGATTAAAATTATACATCCAATTTTATCATTTTCAAAAATCAATGGTGTAAATTACAATTATAAATATTCATTCTCTTTAATATTCTATAAAAATAAAAATAAATAAAAAATAAACGAATACCAAAGTGTGGCACGTGTGTATTGTCACATACGTGTATGATAAATGTAAATTAATGATACAAAAATAAAAATATATAAATAAAATGTATACACATATCGCAAGTACATATAGGAGAAATTGTGAAATGAAAATAATTCTAAGATCGATTACGTTTCCAAGTAAGTGCTCGCCAACCGTTCTATTTAATTGCAAACTAAGGACAGGCAATGTTAGATCTAGATTAAATTATTCATTGCTGTCACTATATTTAGTCAGGTTCATTGAAACTAGAGGCATAGTACATCGTGGTTTATTTAAATTGGAAGGAATATTTTATCTTTCGGAGAGATCAAATAAAATCATTGATAAAGACCGTCGATTTCATATATAATTTCATAATAATGCAAATGTTAATGAATTTATAGGACGAAGAAGTACATATTGTTATACGTACACACTCGAGTGTTAATGTATTTATACGTTTGAAAGGTTTATATTCTAGAGGTCAAAAGGTCGATATGCAAAAATGTCAGGCTTGTTTATTAAGTCATGCACAATTGAAGTTTGCATTAGATGAAGCAAGACGAAATTTATGTGCCTCTAGAATATTGTTCCACGAATATATTAATCCTGTACATACTTTGGGATACGTGAAAGATCGAAAACGTAAAGAGGCT